GGGATAAAATATGGATCAAATCCGGGGTGAAATATAGGAAAATCTGGGATGAAATATGGATTAATCCATTTTCACCCCGGATAAATCTGGGGTTTGATCTGGGGTTTAAACCCCAGACTTTTGAACAGCATGGCGCCTCATAGTATAGACTGTATCATTGAACTCCATACTTAGCAATGTGTTACGTAATCGAAAGTCAATAACTATAACAGCCGTGAAAAAAATACGGATCAATCTAAAAATTCTTAAAACACTATAACAATAAAGAAAGTATTGAAAGAATAAAATTTCAGATGATGATTATAAACTTGAAACTAATAAACACCTTTACCTAAAAACAACTTTAAAGATTACATTCCCAAATGAGAAGAAAAAATCTTTAGAAGATATTTTTGTAAGTTATGCTACTTGCGGTTCACGGATTAATGAATCTTGCGCGGAAAAATTCGAAACCTTAATTTGTGCTTTATTAACTGCCAACATTTTAGTAATATTAAATTAATATCTCAAGTCATTAACGAATATTTTTACATAACTTGGAATAAAAATATCAAAAAGAATCTTACGTTATTAAATACTTTAACTGATTAACGCATATTATTTTTAATAAAATACAATTATTTGTGTAACATTGTACCTCTTGTAAAGAGTAAAATAAAATTATTATTATTCTCATTTGTAGTTTATCTATTCTATCTGAATAATAATAATAATAAATTATTTAAGAACGAACTAAGATCAATTTTAACATCATTGCATATCACAAATAAAAATATAAGGCGTTGGGCCATTTAATAGGAAGAATTTATAAAGGGATTCGGCCGTAAAAGAAAAGATTAGTTACTTATGTACAGTATTTGATTTGTTTACCATAAAAGGAATAAAGGATGTAATTGTAAACCGAGTTTATTTTTAATCTAATTTAGAATTTCAACTTTAACTTCTGTATATAGTATTATTAATTTAAAATATTTAAGTCTGCGAAGATACATACATTTCAATAAAAAATATATTTATTAAAAACAAATAAATAAATATAAATAAAACCTTTCATAACTCAAATATTTTAATGTATTTTTATTATTAAACTTATGGACAAGTCTCGTCGTCTTATTTAAATAATTTCTTTAAATTCGGCATAAAATTTGGTTACATTTTATTGTTAGCTCGTTAATATTTACTAACAAATTCTAATCTTCCATCGTAAAATCTATAACTGTTCTAATACTTTAAAACCTGGATCACTTCGGATTGTTTAAACACCCTCAAGCATAATAAAATAACCAATTATTGGAACTTAAATTATCAAATTGCAATACCTACCCTTAATGTTGGTATTACTCTTTTATAGATTGTAATAGTTTTATAATTCTTTACTAGGAGACGGGAGCCGTTGTAAGTCTGGAGCGAAGATAAAACTAAATTTATGATTTAATTGGATGACATCACGTGAGGGATAAGAAATTTCATATAACCTAGGGGTTAGATAAATATACGGGGGGGCCAACTCATAGGTTACACAGGCTGATCAATAAAAACCCGAACTGTCGCCACTATAAATTGGTTACACAAACGAATTTTCATATTAAATCGCGCAAAAATTTTACTTTTTTTTAATTTTTTCGACGCGCATAGATAGAGAAGCAGCCGATCTTAAAAGTTAAGGTTGTATATGTTAGCTCTATGTAAGTGTAGTTTTTTTATCAAAATTGAACCACTGGTTGCTTCGTTCTTGATTTTATGTGTATTTGTTACTTTTATATTAGAAAGCTAGAATTATACTTTTTTTTTTTTAGAGATTCCAATAAAAAGTTATAAAATATTTTTGCTTAAAACATTTAAAAATAGTGCTTTCTTCTTTTATTATGTATTATTTTCAAGTGTGTAATAATTTTTCATATAGTTTTGAGGTATTTCAAATAGCCGATCCTATTTTTTGAAAAATACAGAAAATAAACTAACGAAAAAAAATACGTAACGATAAACTTGAGCATTTCGTCATTTCCGAAAAATAGTTTTTATTTTGTGATGGGTTGATTATCGGCAGATCTTTCACTTTAAACATGGGGTATCGTTACATTTTACTAGTAACACATAGTAATTTACATATGGTGACAGTTCTGGCGATCACTAATCAGCCTGTGTAACCTATGAGTTGGCCCCCCCCGTATATTTATCTAACCCCTAGATATAACCCAGAAAAATTCTTCGATCACGTGATCTGTTTTTATTTATCACATCGTCACGCCCTGTCCAAGTTTCACTGTTTATATTTATCTGAGGGACTTGGATTTTTTCAAGTAGATGAAATTCTATTTGTCACGTTTTATTCATCACATCCTAAATTCTTCGATCACGTGTCAGTGCATAACGCCGGCCGAGTTCGAAGAATTTTCTGGGTGCCGTTGGGGTAGTTAGAAATTTCATTGTGGTCGATCATTTTTCATAATAGTCCTTTGCTTCGCAGGCAATAATATTAAAAGTTTTAATTTCTTAAGATATAAATATTTTATTATTTTAATCAGTAACATCATTTGTTAGTAATCATCATTTTTTAAATTGATGTAAATAAGATCGCATTAATTGACTATTTGCTTCTTAAAATATATTTGTTTATTTCCATTTTATTGAAATTGAATAATTCTAAAATTAGAATAGGTTTTCATTTTTTACAGGAATATATTATTTCACTCCATATAAAATTTATTAAATAAAACTTTTATGATGTTTAAGATCTTTAATAAAATTAATTTAGCAGAGCAATCCCTAAAAGTAAAATTTAAAAGAAACTGAGATTCTCGAATTTATTCCTTAAAAAGCTAACGTCATTTGAAATAGGCGCAAAATTTAAAAGGCAATGTAATAACACCCAAATTAACATAATTTTGACCAAACTTAATACGGTATTAATTTACAGAAAATCGGCAACTAAAAATTGTATAACATAGAAACGCGTGATATGTGCTCCTGATCTATTCCATGTTTATATTCGTTCCGTGAAGATTTTTGTGGGCTAGTCCAATTCTGGTTAATAAAGTTTTTTATTATCATATTTCAACCTTGAGATGCAGCAGAATATCGATTTTAAAAATCAATTTTTGTTCCTTAAACTGATTTTTTTCTTTAAACTGAAATTTTTCTTTAGCCCAATTTTTTTTTTCTTTAACCCATTTTTCTTTAACTCATTTTTTTAACTCTTTTTTAATTTTTTTTTTCTTTATACTGTACCTATAAAGTAATATTTTTTCCTAATTATTTTTTTTTTCATTCTTTCACCTTTTTAGGTTTAGATCAGTGATTTGGATCAATACAACCGTATTCTAAACAACTCATCTGAATTCTCAAAGAATATAAATCTTATAGTAAACGTGTCGACAATTTATTTATTTATTAGAATGTACTGTATATAATTCGTACTTGTAATCTCTAGTACATGAAATAAAAAAAATCACAAATTCAAGTCTTAAATAAATATTATTTCTGGATTCTAATTTCTTTTTGCATTATTTTCTTTTTTATAATGAGAAAGTCTAATAAAAAATTATTAAATACTTCTAAATACATTACATTTGCAGAATAACGAAATATTTTTACTTCTATAAATAATTGAAACTAGTTTTGATACGTTTTCCTATAATAATATTTTTTATATTTGATTTAAATAAAAATAAAAAAAAATTAAATATTAATGTAAACGTTAAAACAAAAAATAAAATAAAATAAAATCGAACCAGAAAAATATTTACCACTATTATCATAATTTTCAACATTTAATAATTCTTCATTTCTTCTCTTTTTCAAAGAGGTTGAAAAATTTTGATTTGTACAACTTAAATTTTGTGATAAGAAACTAAGTAAAAAAAGAAAATTAATAAATTTTAAATAATTAGCTGATATCATTTAAAGAACATTTCTTTTATCATTATTATTTTAATACCTTTTAGTATTTATATCAAACTCTAATTCTGCTGAGATATAATTAGAATCTAAAGTGGTTGAATAATTTCGAATCGTAGAATTTAAATCTTGTGATGTTAAACTAATTAAAAAAAAATTAAGTTCAAATAATTAGTTTGTGTCATTTAAAAAAGATTTCTTTTTTTCGTTATTTGAATTACCTTTCAGTGTTTATATCAAACTCTAATTCTTCTGAAATATAACTAGAATTTAAAGAAGTTGAAAATTTTTGAATTGCAAAATTTAAATTTTGTGATGATAAACTAAACGGATAAATTAATAAAATCCAAATAATTAGTTAAGTCATTTTAAAAACAAAAAAAAAAAATTTTTTTTTTCATTTCAAATACCTTTTTATAATATCTGTATTATAACTTTCTAATTTTGAGATATGACTAGAATCTAAAGAGTATAATATATTTCTTATTAATTATATATATATAATGTTTTTTAAATTGCAATCAACTTATTTTGTAATAACTTTGCTTACTAAATGAAATTGTTAACGGATAGAAGGATGAAATTTTAGAAATTAAAGCACTTAATGATCTACTCGTATAATTGCCTCCTGAATGTCGTTTTTCAGCAAATTCAGGTCTAATCTTCTTTGATTCTATCGATTTCTTTCTTTTTACTTCAGCTTGTTTAAATTCTGCTTTATTTTTATTTGTATACATCCAATCACCAAGAGTTATACGAATATCTTTTATAGAAGGTCTTTTTTTTGGATCAGAATCCCAACAACTTTTCATTAAATTAGCATAACATTCTGGTGTATCTTCTGTAATTTTAGGTCGTTCTCCATGAAGGATTTTATAAACAAGAAGTTTATCATGTTTAACATTAACAAAAGGTATACAACCTGTTGTAAGTTCCCACATAATCATACCAAAACTATAAATATCAGCTTCTTTAGAAAATTCTGATCCTTTAAATATTTCCGGTGCAATATAAGGTATTACTCCACATATTTCATGATTTGATGATTTACTATTTACAGCTCGTGATAATCCTAAATCTCCAATCTTCCATTCATCACAATTATTACTTTTATTTGACTTAAATAATACTATGTTTCCACTATGAAAATCTCGATGTACAAATTTTTTTTCATGAATAGTTTCAAGCCTATAAAAATATGAAAAAAAAAAAATATAATTAATAAATAAATACCCTTCTGAAATTTGATATAAAATATATAATTTTTCTTTATTCCATGTAATATTTGTAAAATTCTTTTGTAAATACTTATGTAAATCCCCTCCTGTCGCATATTCCATAACTAATATATAATCCTCTAATTTAGGATCTTTTGTAAAACCATAAGTTTCAATGATATGACCATATTCTTTAAAACAATGATTACATGATTCTAACTAATTTTTAAATATAAAGATTTAAAAAATTAAATTAAAAAATTTAAAGTTTATTTAAAAAAAAAAAAAAAAATTATATAAAGAAATGTTTAAAAATATTTTTACCTCATTTAAGAAATATTTTCCAATATTTTTAGAATTTTCAAATCTTTTTAAAATGACAGTTTCATTTCTATTTGACCAAGTTGCTTTATATATAATACCATATCCTCCTTTTGTTATTTCTTTTACATCTTTAAATTGAGAATAAGGTAACCACTTGAATGGTTTTACTTGTTTTTTTTCTTTAAATATGGTCCCTAATATACTTGATGGCACAAAATACTTATCAATAATACCTTTTACAATATTATCAAATTCAACTGATTTTAAATAATCTGAATTATCGCATGTCATAAGACCACTATTAAAAAGAAATTCATCAAAATCACTATTTATATGCGATATTCTTTTGCATTTACATTGAGATTTAAGTGTATGCCCAAAAAGAATGTTTGTTGTTAAACAATATCTGCATCCAACATAAAATATAAAACAATTTGCACAATATTTTTGACAGTCTGATGTAAATATTAACTTTGAATTACAAATATCACACATAGAATAATCATGCCACCATGGTAAGTAAAGAATTGGAAGTTGCCTTTTAATCAAGGTTGATTCTATCAATCCAGAAGAAATTATATAACAATCAGAGCATAATTTAAATTGTCCCATGATCCATTTATCTGTTCCTTGATATAATGACTTTCCACATAATTTACAATTTCTTTCACTTTCAATCACTTTATTGTACATAGTAAGGTTGTTTTTATCAATTCCATAATCACTAACATATCCATCCATTTGTTTAAAACATAAAATTTTCACACAATTTCTACAACATTCTTGAATACTTTGTGGTATTTTTGTTCTGCTTATTTCATGTTCATTACATTCTAAGTCCATTGTATAGTGTACATCCAAATAAATATTATTATCAGTTATATCATAAATATAACATGATAAACATTTTTTGCAATATTTTTGTTGACGACAAAGAAGCGTTTCAATATATTCTTCTCCACAATAAATACAATTTTTATCATTCCTATTAAAAGAAATAAATTTAATTGGTATAGGACTAAATTTTAATCTTGGTGTTGGATCAAAAGAATTCTTATCATTTGTATCTATAATTTCCATTTTATTAATTAAATATTATGTTTAATATATATATATAAACTTGTATCGATAAGATAAATAAATTTGGAAAATTTGAACGTACCGTATTTTATTTATATTTTGAATTATCAAGGAGTTTTGAAGTTTTTTTTTTTGTTGGTGATACGAAAAGTATTTCTAGAATTTCATCATGGAAATTCTTAAGAATTTACCAATAATACTACAGAAAAGGTCCATTTTTAAAAAAATTTTAGTACTTATATCGGAGTAAATTTGCATTAGGAAACGTAATTAATGCATTTTGACTTTATCATTTTTACTTTATTTAGTTGTGATTTATATATATATGATCAACAAGTGGAAAATATTTTTAAGTATTTTGGCGTAATTATTATTATTAAAACATTTCAGTATAGAAGATAATGATGGAAATTACAAATTTAACGTGGAAGGAAAATGGGGAAAAAAATGAAGTAATTATTTTTACAAAATTGGAAAATAAAAAAAGAAAATTTTTCTTCTTTTGTCTATAAAATAAGGTCAAAAAAATAATTATTATGTACTACATAATTATTTTTGTAGTATGATCATTTTTAAAAGCATACAATATTAGCGATTAACATTATAGTAAATATATTTTTTTTTAAAAAAAATAGATCTAATAATACCTAAATACAAAAAAAGAGTTCATTGAATAATAATAAAGGTAATGTCTTTGTTTTTTCATCTTATTATGGTTTCAATAGAATAGTTTTACAATTAACTGCTTGTTAAAAACAAAACAAATAATATATAACAATTATATTCGCATATCCAAAATTATTGTAAATTATGTAAGAACGTAATTTAGCTCTATTAAAACCATAATATTTCAGGTTGTTTTAAAGATACTATGTAAAAATATTTGCTCTATGACGTTATTGGTTAAAGGCCTTAAAAGGTATTACATCATAAAACATAGCGTATAGTAAGTAATAGGTTTCACTTAAATCATTTTACATAAATTGTGTATTAATCTTTATTTTCATTAAATTGGTTTAGGTCAATTTATAAATGATGAATTCATATTTTTGACTCAACATTTTCCATTAAAAAAAAAAAAAAAAAGTAATTTATAATAATATAAGTGTCCTTTAATAATCTAGATATAAGTTAAATAATATTGTTGTTTGAACGTTACATGAATAAAAGTTAAGAATATTATTTGATTTCTTTAATTTTTCAAACACAATTGTAAAGTCTTCTTTAATATCATCGATATGTTCATATCCAACAGAGACATTTATCATCTCTTTATTTACTCCTGCAGATAATTGTTCTTCGTCCGTTAATTGTTGATGTGTTGTTGAAGCAGGATGTATCACGAGAGTTTTTGCGTCTCCCACATTTGCTAAATGACTAATAATAATAAAATTAAGTAATTTTCCACGTGAATAAAAATAATCAATTAAATTGGTTTAACCTTACCTTGCAAGTCATAAAGCATCAATGAAAGTGGCTCCAACATTAGCATCACCTTTAACACCAAAAGCAAAAATACACCCAAATCCATTCCGCATATATTTTCAGCATTTTCATGATATTCAAATCCTCGATATGAAACCCATAGAACTTCATCTCTTGATTCTAACCATCTTTCTAATTCTAAAGCAATTTCAGCTTCACAGTATTATTTTAGATTGCAAAGTTTAACGTTATTTTCAAGATACTATAAGATTCTTACTATGAAAGCGCGAATAAGATTCTTACCAGTATGCTTGTCTATGAACTCTTAATGATAAAGTTTCAGGACCTTGGTCTCCCTGCAGCATTTTTCTTTTACTTGTAAATTTAAAGATATTTCTAACAGTACCTGACGTAAATTGGGACGTTGATAGGTTCGCTCGTCTTGACTATATAAACTGTTTACACGGTTTGTTGCAACTTGTTGCAACTTGTTGCAACTAACTACGTCCTACTACTTCGTCTATAACTAAAATGACCTTGTCCAGAGTAAAAAGTATTAATAGTAATGATCCAAAAGGATTCTGACATGGTCCTATGTTACGCATAATTCTGAACGTGCTTTCATAGTAAAGGAATTATACACAAAATGTATCCCAATAAATTATGGTTGAATCAGTAATCTTCCATTGTTCCACGGAAATTTACTTCCATCGATACTACACCACCTATTGTTGTTCCATGACCTTCAATCCATTTCGTTGCGCCTAACGAAACAAATGTAAAGATTAACAAATAGATATTTCAAATGACACTTAATCAAATAAACCTACTATGAATAACAATATATCTGCACCATGTTCAATTAGCTTAATAAGATATCCACCTATATATATATACAATTAATTAGTTATCAATAATATAAATAAAAGTAAAAAAAAAACTTTCACCTTTTTACTTGACAACACCAAAAGTATTATCAACGATAACCGGTATTCCCGTATCATGCGTAATCTTACAAATTGCTTCAAAATCTGTTTCGGATTTCCCATAGATTCAAGATATATAACTTTCATTTATCATCAATTAATCTAGCGAATTCTTCTGGATCATCACCTTGAACGAATTTGAAATTGATCCCAATTTTGAAATTGTAACCTATTCGTTTAAAAAAAAATAACTAGCACACATGATGTTAACTTTAAAAGATTTTAGTTTACAAAAGAATACCTTAAGCTGAATGTAAGTTCCGCCATATAAACAACTTGTTGAAATGATATTATTACCCACTGAACAAATCGTTGATATAGCAACAAATTGTGCAGCCTGTCCAGATGATGTAGAAATAGTGTAAGTTCCACCTTCAAGTGCAACCATTCTTTGTTCAAATATAGCCAACAATTTCTTTTTTTTTACGAACCTTTTATTATTCCTTTTTTATATTTAAAATAATGATAATATTACTAATTAAATTTCTTTTTTTTTACGAATAAATAAGGGTCACCATGATATTATTTGTAGAAAAAAAAGTGAACATTTATTTACATGTTGTTGGATTATCCATCCTTCTTTTTTTTTAAAGAAAAAATTTAATTATTTTTGATTAATAAAAAAAAATCATAAATCGAAATCAGAAGTATAAAATTTTATAATGGAATACAGTACCTCGTATAAACATGAGCTACTTCTTTACCACCAAAAACATTTGCGGTATGTTCAGTACTTTAAATGTAGTTTGGAACGGCTCTTGCACGTGTGGCGATATCGGGTGTGTTAGCCCGCGTGCGATTGAAGGGTTCAAACAAAATTCTTCTTCTTCATCTTCTCCGTCTTTTCCGTCATATTTTAAATTCTTTTGTTATTGAATTGAAAGGGAAAAAAATGAATGAATCAAATGATGATCAAAAATTTGAGGGTATTTATAAAAATTTGATGATGTGCTTACCTATTGATTGTCATGCGAAATCTGTAATACCCGATCGTAGATAATTGGTTAATCATCATGTGAACTTAGAATGTTGATTTAACCACAATTTTGAGTGTTTTCTAATTTCTATTTAAAATACCATGATAGCGCGTTACATTTATTTAAACATAAAATATTTTGTTTTTTTACGTTATTTTGATAGTATTTGTGATTTTTCGTATTACAATACTAACTTGTCAATATTCTATTAGCCTTTATTTTTTTTACAATATCCAATTTCAAAAATTCTCGTTATTAAATTGTTCAAAGACGAACTTTGCAAGTACTTCACGAAGTGTAGGGAATACTAATTTTTCTCATGATGAAAATACAAACGAAAATTATTCAGATAAATCATTCGAAAATCAAAAGCATCTTTGAGCTACAGTTAAATTATGAACGACCAAGAGCAAGCAGAAAACTGATCAACAGGTCATTATAGAGTAAAATTTTTTATTGTTTTAAAGAGTGGGCAAAGGGAGAACCAGTTAATTGGAAATATATTTAGGTTATGAATGTACAAGATGTCCAGAAAATGTTAAATTACTGGGTTACAAAATTATTGACAAACAAAAAAATTATCAACGAACTTCGTCAACCAAGAGAAAAAAGGCACAAACTAATATAATAAGCTACTTCAAAAATGATGAGCCACTTCTACTTTTTGAACAGAAATTTTTTGGATCAAGTCGTACTGAAGTCATGGTTGCAACTGGGATTTCATTTTCTGTCATTGAAATCAATTTGTTATTGATCTCTTTATGAGATCGAATCCGTCTTACACCACGAACAACATTATCAGGTCGAATTTTAAGAGAAGAAGCAATTAAAGCCAAGACAAAAATTGATAAAATATTTGGACAATCAGAAAATCCAACTTTGTGTACGTATTTTCAATATTAATTGTATTTAGTAATTCTATTTTTTTTTTATTACAAAATTTCTTATTTATTAATATATTTTTTGATTTGTTTTTTAATTTAATAATTATTGAACCTAATTCTTTACAATTTTTCTTAACTATAGATGGATGGACAAAGTCAGACTCATAATCCAATTATAATTTTACATCAGATTGGCGTGAATTCCTTGCAGAATTAAAAGATTACTCACAAGATTTTGCTACCGTAGACCTTTTAGTTAATGAAGTATTTTCTATAGTTGAAAAAATCGGAATAGAAAAATTTACAGCGTTGTGAGTTGTGACTGATTCGGAAGTAATTGTCATCGAGCTAGAGAAATAATTGAACACACCTATCCACTTATAATAGATAGGTGTACAGCACATGTAATTAATTTAATTACGGCTGATTTTTACAAAATTCCGATGGTGGCAAAATTTATTGTTGAATTAAATAAGGCGATTGAATTTTTTAATGGGTCATATGTAATAAAGAATTAAAAGATGGATAAGAAACATGAAAATTAGTGGAGGCGGGGTTACAAACATATGTAAAAACACGATGGGGATCTCATTATTTAGCTCTGTTGTTTCTATATACGCGCAAAACCAATTTTTGGGTGATATGTTGTGAAGCTTTATTTCGATTCTATGCTTTTTTTATTTGCACAGATTTTGCGTGAAAAACCAGAAATCATATCAAATGCTCAAGTTAGAACTAAGAATCAAATAAAAAAAATGATGAATTCTATTTCTGAGTCAAACTGTTTCTTGTATTTCCTGTAAAAAAAGTCGATCCGTTTTTTATATTCGTCTTTTTTCCGTAAAAGACTCATATTTCCGGAATTAATAACCTCTTATATCACGGACTTATCGAATTATTTACATTTTCCGTGAATGGATCCGTGAAAGGCTCATTTTCACGGAGTTTTTACAGAAATAACGGATAAAATTTTTTATAGGGATTATGAAACCAATTGAGAATTGTATATTAAAGCTTGAAGCAAGAATAGCGTCCTGCTATATTCAAATGTTAAAATTAGCTACTGCAATTAATAGGCTTCCCTCCAGCAAAACTTTAAATTTCCTATTACAAAATTTACAATCACCGCAAAAATTTGATCATGAAGCATGTTTATTCCCATTATATCATGGTACGATTATTTTTTTTTTTAATTTTAACGAATCAATTTTATTAAAATTGTAAAATTCAATACTAATTGATTATCAATTTTAGGACGTGAATTAAATGATAAAGCTTTTCAAATTTCATGTCGTGTTGCAACTAAATATTGGCAGACGCATGGTCATGGAGAAAATATTCTTATCATCTATTAACTAACTGCGGCAATTCAAACGAAAAGATCCTCCATTTAATTTGGACTATGATTCAAAGTCTGAACCACTGCTTGCTTGGTGGCTAACATATGAAATGCCTTTAGTTTCTCTTGCAGTCAAAGATGTTTTCAAATTACACCTAGCAAAGCAGTATGTGAAAGAAATTTCTCAGTTCTTAAATGGTTTTATGGTGATTGCAGGACTCGTTTGGATATTAGTAGAATTGAAATTAATGTCAATGATACATTCTTTTTGGATAACAAATGCTAAAAAAGAAATTACGGCTGATGGTTTGCGGAATTGTACTCAAATCTCGACTGTTATGGACGAATTTGATGAGCTTAATGAATATGATGACGCAGTGGTCGTGCACCTGGATCTTACATCACTTAATATTAGTTTAATAGTTAATTTAGATCACGTCTAATAGAGAATTTTAGTGCCAGATAATTTAGAATATAATGTAGATGATTTTTTGTTTCGCATTTTAAATGAGGAACACGATACAGATAGTAATAGTTGATGATGATGTATAAATCAAATAAATCTCACAATGAAAATAAAACATTTTTTTTTTTTTTTTTGAAATATAATTAATTAGTATTATAAGTTAATTTAAAAATAATTTTTTTTTATTTCCATATTTGGATTTCTCTCAATTGACGCCCTATGTTTGGATTTGGGGCGAGTATAATGATTTTTTTGGTGCGACAATCAAAATATAGGTACTGGTCTACGGTACTATATAACTCGCACAGGTGATGTAGCAAGGAATCGCTTCGTATTGAATATTTATAGCCTTAATTATGTTTTAATAATGTATATTTACATATTCTCACTTTCTTTTCTTTTAACGTTAAGCTCTCTAGACTCCAGATTTCTTTTTAATAATAATTTTTTTAAGTCATAATACGTGTATCTTTCCAAATAACCCAATCAGACCGAATCTAGTTAAAATAACTATGTATTAATAATTGGTCTGTGCGTTACTTGTAATAAGGAATTTATAATAAACCAAGTTATGATCTTTTTTTTTTAAAAAAAAAATGCAATCATTAGTTTGTAAATTTATTAGTTTATCAGTTTAATTTAGATTAAATGATAATATATTTATTTTCATGGCATAATAAAATTTCAACTTTTTCTACATATATTCATCTGCACGTACTTTCTTATTCATCAATTCATGAAAAAACAAAGCCTACCAAACAAACTAAGATTAATGATTAATCTAAATAATTTCAGGATCTTTTTATTTTTTCTCTTCTTTAACGTAACAGTTGAAATTCTATGTTCAATTTCAACTTTAGCGGAAGTTGCTTCGATTCTGTCAAAAAAGATATATCTTAATTATAAGCTATTGTAATACAATAAAACTGACTATATCTTTATAACTCACTTGGAAGCTCCACTTCCACTTCAAATGGGCTGACAGGTAAGTAACTTATTGTTTTCCAGGAACAATCTTTTCATTAAAATAACTTTCAATACTAATTACTTTGTCATTAACGGAAGAAATTAGAAGCCCCGACTTGTCTGCAATGCCAGGTGTATGCAAAATTATGATATATGTTTAGCTTAATATTAAAGTATAAAAAATAGATATTAACCCGTCCTAAAAGAGTTTATACACTTGGAAATTTGTTAATCTTAGGGTTTCCAGATTTTGGATTCTCGTTATTGCTAATATCGATGACTTTACATTTTCTAGATTTCGTGTTTTCATTACTCTCATTATTACTGACGGTCTCATTATCCTAAATAGTTTTTTATTGTATTATTAGGACTGCTAGGTTATTTATAATAATAAATAAAATAAATTTTACCATTTGTATTCTACTTTTCGGCTGGTATTAAAATAAATTGCTGCAAGAAACCACATTAGTCCTCTTCGTCATGATGATAAGACATCCCTCTCATCTTATAGTAGAATTCTGCTGCTCGTTTTCTTGAACTAAAGTGAACAAAGCCAAAACTGAAAAGTTCACTTGTTAGTAATTCATTTCAATAATAAGTAAATAATAAATATTTATAATCTACCCATTCTCCTCCTTCTTGACTACATGAATGAAATCGAGTTGCATGGATTTTGTAATATCTCATTATGATCGATACCCGTGCTGCCGGCCGGCCGTGCCGTGCATGGCTAACTGTATATACAGTATATAATAAAAATTATACAAATTATAACAATTACAACAATTATAACAATTATAACGCTTCCACTAAGGAAGGGTGAAGCGCTCCCATGGGGGGAGGGAGATGCACTCCCACGAAGGGAGGGTGGTAGCACTCCCATGAAGGGAGGGTGATATGAAAGCACTCCCATGAAGGGAGTTGATAGCACTCCACGAAGGGAGGGTGAAAGCACTCCCACAAAAGGGAGGGTGATGCACTCCCACTCACGGAAATTTCTTTGTTTATCATAAAGATAGGTACATAACCGGTTCCTCCTTCAGAAACAGTAGTCCTTTAATCCTTTAATCAAAGAAACCCACTTTCACAAGAGAGGGTAAGGAAATGCGCAAAATACTTATAAAAGAACTGTTATAAATTGCCTTTTCCCATTGCTATACTAATGATACAAAGAAAAAATATTAACGCTAAACAATATTCTAGTAAGATTTTCATTTGTTAAATTACTATAAATTCCCCAACAAATATCAACGCAAAGAAATATCAACGGCATTCAACGCAATCAACGCAAAGAAGAAACAAATATCAACGTAAAGAAAAAAAATATCAACGCGTCAAAGACCGTTTATATAAGATGTGGGCTTATGATGCGCGAAGTACGCGTAATTCTTTTTTGACAGTGATGCAAATTTGGTCGGACCTTTAAAAAAATTTATACTTAGACATACATGATAGAATAGCTTGTGGCCACCAAATGATTGTGATCAAAGTATCATTCATACGATATGTAATTATAGTGGGCTAAGTTTTTCCGATTGATTATATAGCTGATGAAATCACGACGAACGCAATTATGATACCTTTGTTCATAAGATTAATTCTCACAAAATTGTTAAAAATTTATGGCCGAGATATTTCCATAATGTATTGTGGTTAAGTCTTAAGAGATGTATTATGTTACCGCAGAGTGGGAGAAAAAGTCATACTTAAATATGTCAAGTCAAATCCGGTCATCAGAAAGTTCATTGAGGATGACAGAAATTTTAATAAGGAGGTATATACAAAGTTGCAGACAACATTTTCACTAACATTCATAAGCGATAGATGCGAATACATCAAATGGTATCTGATCACGATAATATTACCACATTTTATGGCACAAGGTAGCCTTCTTTAAAATAAATTAAATAAATTAATGATGGAAATTATTATAAAAATATTTTATAACGTAAATCATAATATACTATTTATCCATTTTAGTTTTTTCGAAATTTTATTTTTTACAAGTTATAGTGTGACGAAGAACTGATACACGCTAGTGTGTATACGCTGTATATTACAACGCACTTTTGACCATGGTGGCTTTCAATAGTTCGGTAAATATGTGATCTAAAGTTCCTTCTGTGACTTAAAAATATTTTTATATGTCTACTTGTTTCTATGTGTAGTTATTTGTAATCTAAATAAACTTATTTATATATTATTAAAATTCTCAAATTATATAATCTTATAGTAAACGCGTTGGTAAATTCATTGACAACGTACGACATCGCTCAAATAATAATGTCCACTTGTAGGGTTTAGGCCACAAAATTGGTGACTTTTAAGAAGCAAGTATTAGTACTCATTTATTTATTCATATTGGGCAGTTACTTTAAATATAAATGTAAAAAAACAAACAATTTACTCGTAATCTCTAGTAGTATATTAAATAAAAAATTACAAATTCAAGACTTAAATGAATATCATATCTGAATTCTAATTTCTTTACATTATTTTCTTTAATAGTGAGACAATTATTAAATATTTCTATATACTCTGTTTAAGGATAACGAAATACTTACTTCTATATTTCTATAGATAATTAATTAGTTTTAATACGTTTTCCTATAAATAATATTTTATATTTGATTTAAATGTAAAAAATTAAATATTAATGTAATTGATTAAAACGAAAGTAAAATAAAATAACATCGATCCAAATGAATATTTACCACTATTATCATGAGGTTCTACATTTAAAAATTCTACATTTCTTCTTTTTTTTAAAGAGGTTGAAAAATTTTGAATTGCAGAACTTAAATTTTGTGATCTGAAACTAAGTAAAAAATTATACGGTAAATTTCGTATCATTTAAAAATATTTTTTTTTGTCATTTGAAATACCTTTCAATGTCTATATCAAGTTCTAATTCTTCTGAGATGTAATTAAAATTTAAATTTTGTAGTGATAAACTAAACGGAAATTAATAAATTCGAATAATTAATTACATTTAAAATATTTTTTTTTTCATTTTAAATACTACCTTTCAGTGTCTTTATTATTCTCTAATTCTGAGATATAATTGGAATCTAAGGAGTATAACATATTTCTTATAAATTACAGTTTATAGATGACATTTTTAAATTTTTTTTTGAAATACCTCGCTTACCAAATGAAATCGTTGAAAATGAATATATGGATGAATATTTAGAAATTAATGCACTTAATGGTCTACTTGTATAAATGGCTCCTTCGTGACATTTTTTAGCAAATTCCAACCCAATCTTCTTTGATTCTATCATTTTCATTCTTTTTGCTTCAGCCTGGCTAAATTCTTCTTCATTTACCTTTTTATATAACCATCTACCAAAAGTCAAACGAATATCTTTTATAGAAGGTCTTTTTTTGGGATCAGGATCCCAACAACTTTTCATTAAATTAGCATAACATTCTGGTGTATCTTCTGTAATATTAGGTCGTTCTCCATCAAGAATTTTATAAATAAGACTATGATCATGTTCAATATTATCAAAAGGTTTACGGCCCGTTGTAAGTTCCCACATAATCATACCAAAACTATAAATATCAGCTTCTTTAGAAAATTCGGATCCTTTAAATATTTCTGGTGCAATGTAAGGAATTACTCCATATACTTCATTATTTGATGATTTACTATTTACAGCTTGTGATAATCCTAGATCTCCAATTCTCCAACCTTCACTTCTACGAATCTTTGGATCAAATAAAATGTTTCCACTATGGAAGTCTCGATGCATAAAATTTTTTTTATGAATAGTTTCAAGTCTAAAAATATAAAAAAAAATTAATAACTTAAATTTAAAGAAAATTAATAAACATATAAAGTATAAATACCCCATTGAAATTTGATGTAAAATACGTAATTTTTCTTTATTCCATGTAATACTTGCAAAATCTTTCTGCAAATGCTTATGTAAATCTCCTCCTGATGCATATTTCATAACTAATATATAATCCTCTGATTCAGGATCTTTTGTAAAGCCAAGAGTTTTAATGATACGACCCTTATCGTCTTTAAAACAATGACAATATGATTCTAACTATTTGAATTTAAAGATTAAATTAAATTTAATTAAATTAAAAATTTAGTTTATTTAAAATAAATTATATAAGATATATTTAAAATATTTTACCTCATTTAAGAAATATTTTCCAATATTTTTAGAATTTCCAAATCTTTTTAAAATGACAGTTTCGTTTCTACCATTTGACCAAGTTGCTTTATATATAATACCATATCCCCCCTTTGTCATTTCGTTTACATCTTTAAATTGAGAATATGGTATCCACTTTATTTTAAATATAGAATATAATTTGCGCCATGGTAGAAAATATTTATTGATGTTTTTTACTGTATTTTCAAATTTAGTTAATTTTAAATAATCTAAATTATCGCATATCATAATATTATTAGTAAAAAGAAAATCATCAAAGTCTCTATTTATGGGCGATATTCTTTTACATTTTTTACATTGAGATTGATCCGTAGGTCCAAAAAGAATGTTTGTTATTAAACAATATCTGCATCCAACATAAAATATAAAACAGTCTACACAATACTTTTGACAGTCTGATGTAAACGTTAATTCTGAATTACAAAGATTACACCTAGAATCAGCATGCCACCATGGTAAGTAAAGAATTGAAATTTGCTTTTTAACCAAGGTTGATTCTATCAATTCAGAAGAAATTATATAACAATCTGAGCATAATTTAAATTCTTTCATAATCCATTTATCTGTTCCTTGATATAATGACTTTCCACATAATTTACAGTTTCTTTCACTTTCAATCACCTTATTGTATAAAGTGGAAATATTTTTATCAGTTATATCATAATACATAAACTTTACTTGTTTAAAACATAAAATGCTCACACAATTTCCACAGCATTCTTGAATACTTTGTGGTACTTTTGTCCTGCTTATTTCATGTTCACTACATTCTATGTCGTTTGTGTAAATATATACGTCCAAGTATATATTATTATCAGTTATATCATTAATATAACGTGATAAACATTTTTTGCAATATTTTTGCCAACAAAAAAGCGTATCAATATATATTTCTCCACAATAAATACAATTTTTATCATTCCCATTAAAAGAAATAAATTTAATTGGTATAGGACTAGATTTTAATCTTGGTGTTGGATCAAAAAAATTTTCATCATTTGAATTTACAATTTTCATTTTATTAAGTTAATTAATATTTGTTATAAACAAGTATCAATAAGATAATGAATTTGGAAAATTTTGAATGTACGTATTTTATTTATATCTGAATTATCAGGAGTTTGAGCCTTTTGTTGGTGAAACGGAAAGTATTTCTAGATTTTCTTAAGAATTTACCATAGTACTACTACGGAAAAGTCCGTTTAAAAAATTTAGCATTTTATCGGAGTAAATGCATAGCGAAATGCAATTAATACATTTAACTTTATTATTTTTACCTATTTAGTTTAATTCGTATGATCAACTAGTGGAAATATCTAAATATTTGGTGAATAAAATAAACCTTTCAGCATAGAAGATAATGATAGAAAGTACAAATTAACGAAAAAGAAAACGGAAAAAAGTGAAGCAATAATTTGTACAAAAGCGGAAAATAAAAAAAAAAATTATTTCCTTCTTTTGCATGAAATCGCTAATACGATTTGAACTTTATATAAAATAGGGGTCAAAAATTAATTATGTACGACAAATTGAGATGTATAATTATTTTTGTACTAGTATAATTCATTACAATGAACACCGAATATAGTAAATTATTCTTTATTAAAAAAAAGTAGATCGAGAATAAATAACTACTGTGATTTTCTTCTATTTGTTCCTACGCGCAGTTAATTGTAAAACTATTTTAAACAATTACTATATTACTAGTTCACATATTATTAATATTCCAAAATTATGTAAATTATGCAAGAACGATTATCTTCCTAGAACAAAATAATTTATTTCTATTAAAATCATAAGACTACGGTTTGCTTCCTAGATACTATGCAAAAAATATTTGTAATGTTTTATAACGTTATTAGTTAAAGGCCTTATAGGTATTGCATTGTAAAACATGTTTAGCGTGTAGTAGTTTAACACTTGAAAATCATTTTGCATAAATGTGTATCAGTCAGTGTATAATGATCATGATTCTAAAATTATCTTTATTTTGGTTCAAATCTATTATAAATGATGAATTCATATTTTTGACTCATATTCTCATTTTTTTTTTTAAAAAAAAAAATTACAATAATAATAGTGTTCTTTTAATCTAGATATAAGATCATTATTATCTGAACGTGAAAATAAAATTACGTAAATAAAAGTCAAGAATATTATTTGATTTCTTTAATTTTTTCAAACGCAATTTTAAAATCTTCTTTAATATCATCGATATGTATGTTCATAGTCAACGCCAACAGAGTCTTTATTTACTCTTGCGGATAATTGTTCTTCGTCCGTTAATTGTTGATGTGTCATTGAAGCAGAAATGTATCACGAAAGTTTTTGCGTCTCCCACATATGCCAAATGAATAAAGAAGTTAATAATAATAAGTAATTTTTAATGTAAATAAAAAAAAATAAATTAAATTGGATTAACCTTACCTTGCAAGTTGTAAAGTATCAATGAATGCGGCTCCAACATTAGCATCACCTTTAACGCCAAAAGCCAAAATACAATCAAATCCATTCCACATATATTTTTTGGCATTTTCATGACGAGGACATGATTCAAGTCCTGATATGAAACCCATAGGATATTATCTCTAGATTCTAACCATCTTGCTAATTCTAAAGCATTTTCATTTTCGGCTTGTCTATAAACTCTTAACAAAACAATAAAGTTTAAGAACTTGTATTAATAAAAATAGTCCAAGAGGATTTTGACATGGTCCAATGTTACGCATAATTTTTGAACGTGTTTCATAGTAAAGGCATTATACTTAAATGTATCCCAATAAATTAACCCATGTTAAGGATTTGAATTAGTGAAAATTAGGAATCTTCTATTATTCCACGGAAATTTACCTTAATCAACTAATTACACACCTCCTATTGTTGTTCAATGACCTCCAATCCATTTTGTTGTGAATGAACATAAAGATTAACAAATGGATATTGCAAAATGATGGTTAATCAAGAGTTGATCATAAACCTGATCATAAACCTACTGCGAACAACAATATCTGCACCATATTTCAATTGGTTTAATAAAAATATCCACCTATATGTATAATCAATTAATTAGATATCAATAATGTAAATAAAAGTAAAAAAATCTCATCTTAAACTTGCAAGTACCAAAGGTATTATCAACGATAACATGTATTTTCAGTGATAACTGGTATTCCCGCATCATGTACAATCTTCCAAATTGCTTCAAAATCTGGAATATTAAATTTCGGATTTCTCAATAGATTCAAGATATATAGCTTTCGGTATTAATTTAGCGAATTCTTCTGGATCATCGCCTTGAACGAATTTGACATTGATCCCCAATTTTGGAAGTGTAACCTATTCGTTTAAAAAAAATAATTCATAACTTTAAAAAAAATTTAATTTACGAAATTAAGTTCCACCATATAAGCAACTTGTTGAAATGATATTATCACCCACCGAGCGAATCGTTAATATGGCAACAAATTATACAGTCCGTCCAGACGATGTAGAAATAATGTTAGTTTCACCTTCAAGTGCAGCCATCCTCTGTTCAAATACGGTTAACAATTTTTATTATGAATAAAATAGGGGTTAGCATATTATTTGTAAGAATAAAGCAAAATAAGTTTAAACATTTATTTACATGTTGTTAGATTATCTATCCTTTTTTTTTAAAAAAAAAAAAAAATTGATAAATTATTTTAATAAAAAAAATCATAAATCAAAATCAGATGTATAAAATTTTTAGTACCTTGTATAAACGTGAGCTATTTCTTTACTACAAGCGGCATATTCAGCACTTCTAAAATGTAAACGAAGCCCTATAAATAGTTTATTCTATGTTTTTTTTATTCTATGTTATTTCTATTTCTATAAATGTATTATATTTGCGGAATTCTTATAGAAATTATGGATAAAATATTTTACAGGGAAGTAGTTACATTAATTGGACAGCTCTTTGCACGTGTAGTAATAATATCGACTGCGTGCAATTGAAGAGTTTCAATACGGAAATTCCTCTTTCTGTTTTATTTCATCTTTTCCGTCATATTTTAAATTATTTGATAAAATTCAATAAATTGAAAGGAAAAAAACATGAATCAAACGAGAATAAATTTTTTTTAAGGTAAATCATAAATGCATCTTACTAATTTAGTCATTGATCGTCATGCATGTAGCCATGTATAAATAAATTACTGCGGTCCGGAATGACATTTGAACAAGTTTGATAGGATTAGGATTATTAATAGGAATCAGGTGAATTACTAAATATAGTAACATCTTTGAAAGATCAAATTTTGGAAATTTTTAAAAAATTGATAAGAAAAAGTTGGAAATGATATTTTTAGATTTCTGACGAGGTTTACTAAGATCAAAATTCGTTGGAAGTAAAAATGGAGGAAGTTAAAAAGGGAAGATTAATAATACGGTTTAAAAAAAAAGACCAAAAAAAATAATATAAGTCTTAAAAGACCGAAACATTTAAATTATTTGATAAAAAAAAAATAATAATAATTTTTCGATTTTGGAAAAAAAACCAAATCTAAATGGGAAAAGAATGGAAAAAATGGAAAAAAAGAAAGAGGAAAAAAAATGAAAAATTTTTAAAAAAAGAAAAGGTGTTTGAAAGAGGAATGAAAATTAAAAAGGGGGAACTGAAAAAATTTAGATGAAAAGGAAAAAAAAAATTCCTCATTAACCGGAATTGGATTAGATGTACAAACATGACTTGCCGATCAAGCGGGTCTTTAACTATAGATAAGTGAATTATGTCAGTCTATTATTGAGCTTGATACAACCTAAAAAATAATATTATTAATAATAAGAATCGGGAAAAAAGGCAATTTCCCTCCGGCTATCTCAACCCAGACCTAATGATCTACAAAAAACGAAAGATTTTTTTTTTATAGTTAATTTGGGTTTATTATAAATAAATTTTATTTTTTAAATTTACATAGTAATAATAATAATATATTTTTTAAAAAAGAATTACATTATTTATTATATTTTTAAATGGTTTCAAAAAGTTGTTAATTAAAAAAATAATTTTAAAAATAAATCAAGAAATCATTATCAGTTATAAAAAAAATTTATGTAAAAAAAAAAAAAAAATTGAAAAAAAAAAAAAAAAAAAATAATAATAATAATAACGGTTATCAAAAAATGGGTTCAGTCTATAAAAAAAAGGTATTACCTAAATGGTTATGGTACGATCTACTCATTTGATTACGGTACGTCGGTACGTTCAGATTTATGCAGGTACTAACGTTTTTTAACAACAATCATACCGTACCCAAAACACTGTTTGTATATATATTAATGTTATCAATGTTGTATGTACGGCAACTTTAGTTATACAGTATAAACTTAAACAAATCGTAATATACTATATTTTTTTTTTAATCTTACATTTATTATACAATAACGCTCAAAATTAAAATTATTACAATTAATACTGCATAGACATAATATTATATTTACATATATTTTATTGTTATAATAATAATAATGGTGAAGAAAAAATTAATAAAGAAGAGAAAGAAAAAAAATTTTCGATCAACAAACTCATTATATAGATGATAAATTATTGTGATTCGCAGGTACGAGTGACATCATTTGTTTGTAACTGGTACCATTTTTATATTGATGAAAATAATAATTAATTTAAAAAAAACTTTTACTTAATAAATTAAGCTAACGGAGCAATCCCTAAAAGTAAAAGATAAAATTAAAATTTTCAAAAACTTTATACCATATTACCATCCATACCTTCATACATATAATAAAAAGAAAAAATGTAAGTTATTCCTTAAAAAGCTACGTCATTTAAAATAGGCGCCATTTATAACTCAAACTTAATACGGTATTAATTTAATTCTTTAATATGAAACGCGTGATATGTTTGCGCCTGATCTATATAATTCGATTTTTGTATGCTAGTCCAGTTCTGGTTAATGTATAAATATTCTTTTTATGATTTTTACACGAAGTATTTTTTATTTATTTTATTGGCTTTTTTTAATAAAACAATTTGTTTTATAGAGAATTTTTATTTTTATTATAGACAAAGGCTTTTTTATTAAAGACTTTTTTTTGATAAAAAATTTTGTTGGAGAATTTTTTTATTGATAGGGACATTTCTGTCGATAATTTCGTTAAAAAATTGAGAATTTTTTTTTTAATAAGAATTTTTTTTTGGACATACCTAATTTGTTGGAACAATTTTTTTAACAGGATTTTTTTTTTTTCGGTAGAGAATTCATTGAGAATTTTTTTTTAATAGGAAAGATTTTTTTTGATAAAAATAATTTTGTCAGAATTTTTTTAAACAAATGAGATTTTTTTTTGATAGAGAATTTCGTTAAGAATTTTTTTTTTAATAGGAGGGAGTTTTCCTTGATAAAAAATTTCTTTTGGGAATTTTTTTTAATAGGTGAAAGTATTTTTTGACGGAGAATTTATTAGAGAATTTTTTTTTTAATAGGGGGATTGTTTTTGATAGAGGATTTTATTAAAGAATTTTTCTTTAATAGGAAGATAAATAATTTCGCTGAGAATTTTTTTTTGATAGAAAGTCTTTTGAGAATTTTTTTTAATAGTAAGAATCTTTGAATTTTTTTTTTAATAGGGAAAATGTGTAGATTTTCGTTAGAAATTTTTCTTAGTCAGGGATATTTTTTTTGATTGAGAATTTCATTAGAGAATTGTTGGTTGAAAAGTTTTTTTTATTTTTTTGATGGAGAATTTTGTTAGAAGTCTCAATAGAAAATTTTATTGAAAATAGTTTTTTTTAAATAAGGGTATCGAGAATTTTGGCTTGAAATTTTTTTTTTTTAATAAAGAATTTCATTAGAGATCTTTTTTTATAAAATTAAAAAAATATTAAATTACATTAATAAGATTAAGATAAAATTAAAAAAAAAACTATGATAGAATCTTAAATAGCATAATAAATTAAGCAAATTCTATATATAGTAAAGCTCCGCATAAGCCGAGCCGGCTTGCAAGCCAAGTCATACTTAATAAATTGGCTTGATGCTTGACAAGCCAGCTTGAAAAAGCTCGAGCTGGCTCACTTACAAAGTAATAAAATATAAATTAATCATTAGTAATTTTTTTTTTTTTTTGGTTTATTTGTTTCATTTTAATAATTTTAGATTTCTAGAATTTATTTTTATGGTATTTTTTTAAAAAAATTTATCTTACTTTATTTAATAATTTTCTTTAGTTTGGTATTTTTTGATTCCATTTTTAACTTTAATTTTTAACATTTTTTTTTAATCTAATATTTTTTAATTTTATAAAAATTTTTTTACAAATTTCTTATTATATAATCATATAATATTCATATATAACATAAATTAAAAAGTTTTTAAAATAATGTTAACTTTAAAAAAAAGTATATAGCAGAAATTTGTTTGAAGCAGTTTTCTTTTTATCATTAATAATATTAAATAATTGGCATAAAAACATTTTTTAAAAATTTTTTCATGATGTATCTAATTTTTGATTCTTTTAAAAAATTCTTTTGCAAACATATTTATTCAAAATAATCTTATTTAGTGAAATTTTTATTTGCAAATATTAAAATTTAAGTCACACATTTATGATTTTAAAGAAAAAAATCATCATATTTATTTTTATTGAAGTGTACAAATAAAAGAAACAATAACAATAAATAAAAAAGATAAGTAAATTACAATGATCAAGGAGAAAGATGCTAATAAAAAAATGAAATAACAATGGA